TAGTGAAATACCACCTCTATATCTTTTTAAAAATATATATTTTATTGACTTCAGAGAGGAAGGGAGAGGGAGAGAGATATAGAAACATCAATGATGAGAGAGAATCATTGATTGGCTGCCTCCTGCACACCCCCTACTGGGGATCGAGCCCATAACCTGGGCATGTGCCCTGCCTGGGAATAGAACCCTGACCTCCTGGTTCATATCACCTCTACATCTTGAAGAAATATCACCATATTGTGGCATTTTTAAAATTAAAAGTGCATATTTATCATGTCAAAACAAGAAAATAAAAGTGGAATTTTAATACCATGCTTTTAAAAATATTTTTATTTATTTCAGAGAGGAAGGGAGAGGGAGAAATAGAAACATCAATGATGAAACAAAAATGATGGGAGAGAATCATTGATCAGCTGTTTCATGTACACCCCCTAATGGGGATTGAGCCTGCAACCAGGGCATGTGCCCTGACCAGGAAGCCAACTGTGACCTCCTGGTTCATAAGTTGACACTCAACCACTGAGCCACACTGTTGGGCTGAATATCAGCCTTTTAAGTGTAGACTACTTGATTATCTATTAGATGTCAAAGCACTGTTTATTACACAGTGATACTGTAGTGTTGCTAAAAGAATATAATATACATGAACATTACTAAACTAAGCACTCATTGCAATGTTCCCAGCTCACAGGAAAGCAATGGTTAGAAAAATTAGAAAGTTTAAAATGGAACATGTTATCATAGCAGAATTCTTCACAAAAATAAAAGATGAAAATGTGGCTTTGGCCAAAGTGAGTTTCTGAGTGGCTCATTTGTTAGCCAAGGAAGGAAGGCCATTTACTGACTATCAGTTAATTAAATTGTGTTTGATTGCAGAAGCCAAATAATGTGTCCAGGGAAAATAAACATTTTAAAGACTATTAACCTTTCAACAAGAACAGTGGCTCAAAGACTGAAGGACATTGGAAGCAACATCAATAGTCATTTAAAAAACAAAAAAAAAAACAACAAAAAACAGGGCAGCCCTGGACGGTTAGCTTACTTGGTTAGAGCGTCATCCTGATATACCAAGTTTGTGGGTTCAATCCCCAGTCGGGGCACATACAAAACTCAACCAATGAATTAATAAATTAGTGGAACAACGAATCTCTCTCTCTCTCTCTCTCTCTCTCTCTCTTTCTCTCCTTCTCCCCCCTCAAATCAATATAAATAAATAAACAGGGCAAATGATTTCAAGTGGTTTTCCTTGACTCTTGATGAGTTCACAGATGTTTCCAATACTGTTCAGTTGTTTACTCAAAAGTCAATGCTGAGTTTAAAGTGATGGAAGGATTGACCTGTATGGGTTGTTTATGTGGAACAACTACCAATGAGAATATTTCCAAAGAAATCAAGAAAACCCTGATTCAATACAACCTGAAGTAGAATCTGCTAATGTGCATTACAAATATGTACAGAGCAGAAAACAGCTTAGTTGGACAAATGAACAAAGCTTGAGAAAATGTAAGTTGTTTAAATCCCATGATTATTCATTTTATTATTAACCAGCAGGTACTTTGCAGGAAAATATTTGGATCTCTTTGGTGTTATTCAACCTTTAGTGTCAACAATGTACTTCATTCACTCTCATGAACTAAACCATTGTCAGTTTCATGAATTTTTTTTTGTCAGAAATAGAAGCTGAGTATTCTTATTTGCCCTACTAACTGCAGTTTATTAGCTTAGCAGTGGTTTTATAAAAAGTTATTTAAAAGCTCAGGGCTGAGATTGAACATTTTCTGGATGAGAAGATTCACAACCACTGTTATTGAATACTGAATGTTTTTTGAAATTAGCTTTTACTCTAGACTTGATAATGTTACTTAATGAATTTAACCTAAAATTACAAGGCAAACCACTGCTTATATGTGAAAATTATACTGCAGTAAATTCATTTCAATGACAACTAACATTGTTTGAATCAAAAGTAATGTCGTTATTTTTATCACTTCCTGTGCCGTAAAAAGTTAAAACAAAAATCAAGATTTGTATTCCCACACAAATTTGCAGTGGATATATTTTCTGAGCTCAAATTACAGTTCCAGTGGCATTTTTCAAACCTTGATGCAAAGTGCAAAGGAAATTTCTATATTTTAAAATTAATTTGTGCATTTGAGGAGCTTCCACCTAATTTTCAATTGAAGGTGATTACTCTGCAATGTAATGACATGCTAAAAGGCAAATATTAAAATAAGAATCTAATTGAATTCTCAAAATGCCTTCTAAGAGATGAATATGATCAATTAAAATTGATTGCTTGTGGATGGATATCAGTATTTGATAGTATTTATTTTTGTTCTATTTTTTCAAAGATGAAATACACAAACTCTCATTACAGATAAGCATTAACAGATGAATATTTCAAATGTTTTTAAAAAGTATTTAATACCTTTATTAACAGGTGCATACAGCTTGTTGATTCTTTTGAGAAATCAAGTTATATACTTTATTACAAAGTAAAAATGAGGTTTTTAAAATGTCAATTTGGTCATATGAAACAATTTAAAAACCTTTAAAGATGTATTGAGATTGCAGGTAATTTTGATGACAGGGAACACTCAGTTTGAACCCTAAGTAAGTGAAATGTTATCCCCATCCATTAAAGAATGCCAGTCTGTTCATTCATGGACATGTATTACAAAAATTTATACTCAATTATTATATTTTTAATTTCATCAATATAATATTTGTGGAAATTTGTTCTCTCTCTTGTTATATAAATACCTATATGATGTTCTTGATTTTACCTCTTGGCCCTCAAAGCCTAAAATATTTACTCTAGCCTTTTACAAAAAAAGTTTAGCCACCCTTGCACTAAACAAAGCCACACGAGGGGGTGAGACTATTTGTAATTGATCACTAAACAACAAGTATATAGCACAGTGCCTGACACATAGTAGAAGATCAATAAATACCAAATAACATAGAACTATAGGGATGACATTGGACTAAGACCAAGGAGCAAACACTGTGATTCTTTAAAACTTGCATTGATATTTCTTTTATATTTTGTTTAACTTGGGTTTGTTTGGGGGCTAGCAGATTACTTAAAATTCCCATTGGTTTACATCTTGTGTATATTGAACAGTACACTTCTTCCAGCCAACCTGTCAATTTTCTAGTCATAAACTCCTGCTATCTTCAGTATGTTCCCTGTTAAAAACCCATTATTTTGGTGTCAGCATTTTGATTATTGAAGTTATTAAATGTAAACTGTTTCAATGTCCTTATTCTGGATGGCTCTAGGACAGTGATGGTGAACCTATGACACGCGTGTCAGAGGTGACACGCGAACTCATTTTTTTGGTTGATTTTTCTTTGTTAAATGGCATTTAAATATATAAAATAAATATCAAAAATATAAGTCTTTGTTTTACTATGATTGCAAATATCAAAAAATTTCTATATGCGACACGGCACCAGAGTTAAGTTAGGGTTTTTCAAAATGCTGATACACCGAGCTCAAAAGGTTCGCCATCACTGCTCTAGGATCTGTCCTCCACAAAAAGCATTCTGGGAGAGTTTCTGGGTTGGGGAAAAGAAATAGTGGAAGGTGTTCGCTTACACCTGTGGCAAACAGGATCATTAAGATGCCTCTATTTGCAAATCGTTTATATGGTTACGGTCTAGTAACCAGAATATATAACAATTCGTACAATTCAACAATAAAATGACAACCCAATTAAAAATGGACAAAAGATTTGAGTAGACATTTCTCCAATAAATGACCAATACATGTAAAAAGGTACTCAACGTCATTAGCCATCAGGGAAAGGGAAGTCAAAACCACAGTGAGATACCACTTCACACCCACCAAGATAGCCATGATAAAAAAGATAGGCAAATATAATCATTGGTGAGGACGTGAAGAAATCAGAAGCCCCTCCCCCCTTGGATTCCTGATGGGAATGGTAAAGGCACTTTGGAAAACACTCTTGGCAGTTCCTCAGAAGGTTAAACATCAAGTTACCATACGATCCAGCAAATCCACTCCTAATCATACACTAAACTAAAAACAATGTCCTCACAAAAACTTTGTACACCAATGTTCATAGTAGCATTAGTCATTATATCCAAAAAGTAGAAACCACCCAAATATTCATAACTGATGAATAATCAAAATATACTATATCCATACAAGAAAATATTATGTAGCTATAAAAAGGAATGAAGTTCCTTTTTACTAATTCATTACTATTTTTTATTAATCCACACTACAACGTGTATGGACCTTGAAAATGTTAAGTGAAAGAAGCCAGTCACCAACTACCACATATTGTATTATTTAATTCATATGAAACGTGCAGACGAGGCAAATTCATAGAGACAGAAAGTAAATTAGGGATTGCCAGGGCTGGAAAAGAGGTGAGGAGTGACTGCTAACCATACAGGATTTCTTTTGGGGATGATGAAAATTTCCTGAAGTTAGATAGTAGTGGTGGTTGTACAACTTTATAAATATATTTAAAAACTATTGAATTATACATTTTAAGAGAGTTATTTTATGTTATGTGAATTATATCTCAGCTTTAAAAAGTCTCTATTAGGTACTCATCCTGAATATTGCCATTAAAATCATAGAGGCACAGACGGGAGCGGGCTGGAAGAGGTTAATGGAGGGAAAAGGAGGACCTATGTGATACTTTCAATAATAAAGATTAAAAAAAATAAAATCAAAGAAAAAATCAAAGAGGCACACCTAAAATCTGTATTATGCATATTGTGTAAATATTGTCCTTCGTTTTATATATGCATGTACTTGCATATACATACATGTATAGAAATATAAATAAATAATTTAAATAATATTAAGGGTGTCCCAAGCAAAGCAGTCCCAGCTAACA